CTCTGGGCAGGGGAAGCCAGGCAGCGACGGGTGAAGGGTCTTAGCCTGCGGAGTGAGTGCCGAGGGCTTTGTCCCAGGAGACACGAGGCTGCCCTTGCTGAGGCTCTCCGGGCAAAATCTAATGCATGCCACGCGCCTGCAGTTTGGGGTGCCTGGGACTGGTGCGAAACGGGCCGTGCTGCGGGCAGGCTGGAACGTGGCCACGCTGGCATCTGGGAATGAGCATCCAGGCTGGTCCCACCCCGCCTGCGATCTCCACAGCTAGCAGGCCCCGAGTTCGTGGCCGCGATGCAGGAGATGAGCTGGAGAGCCGGCGACAGCCGCTCCTTACCGTGTCAGTCCTGGAGCCGCAGGCAGGACACGGTGGGGAGAGACTTGGTGCCTCTGCCAGGGAAACGCCGGCCGTTCCCCAGGAGGAGGAGGACTCTCCTCTTCACGCCTGCAGCCAGCTGCGAGAGCTGCAGCCGCACATCCTTCTGCCAGTAGGAGTAGAGCAGGGGGTTCAGGAGCGAGTTGCACAGCCCCAGCAGCCAGAGGTAGTTCTCGATGACTTTGTAGGGGAAGCACTCCGGACAGACGGTTTGCACGATGCTGGCGATGAAGAACGGCAACCAGGAGAGCGTGAAGCACCCGATGAGCACGGCGACGGTGCGCATGGCCTTCATGTCGCTGGTGGTGCGGGACGGGGGGCAGCCCCCCGCCAGCCCCGCGTGCTCCACCTCCCGGATATGCTGCACGTGCACAGAGGCAATTTTCAGCATGTCGCAGTAGAGATAAATGAAGAGAAAGAGCGCTGGGAAGAAGCCGACGCAGAAGATGGTGAGCATGTAGGTGGGGTGGAAGACGCTGAAGAAGGAGCACTTCCCACGGGCGGAGATCTTCTGGAAGCCCGGGGCGAGGACCGGGAGGAAGCCAATGATGGCAGCAATCAGCCAGAGCCCCACCAAGCGCACCCCGACCCGCAGGCCTGTCACCAGCTGGAAATAGTGGAAAGGCTTCCTGATCGCCAGGTGCCTGTCGCACGCAACCAGAATCAGGGATAGGATAGAGGCAGCAGAAGAGGAGGTCACGAAAGCCATTCTCAGGACACAGAAGATCGGGGGAGGATAAAAGGGCTGGGAAAACTCATCCAGGACCAGACCCACGACCGTGAAGCCAACCATGGCATCCGCAATGGCAAGATTAAGGACGAAGTAGAGCCCCTTAGAGCTGCTCTTCTGGATGAGGCGAAGGAGAGCGATGGCCACCAGCGCGTTGGCCGCGATGATGAGCGAGGCCAGCACAGCGAGG